GTGTACCGCGGTGATAACTGTGGTGAACCCCCCCCCCCCCCCCCGTTTGATTTCCTACTGTCCCCTTAAGTATTTTTAACAAATTCAAGATTTACCTAATTTAAAAGAGAATCTCAGCTAAAATGAGGTAATACATACGGATTTCATACAAAAACCAGGTATGCGCATTATCCCGGAACATCTATGTTTTAGAATCGAATGAGTGTAAAGGACACTCCCACAACCAATGCAAACAGACTGCAAATATCACAAGGCATTTAATAGGTTAAATTCACTATCAACAAGTTATGCTGTGTTTTACTGACCTGCATGGTACGCAATAGATCCTTTATTCCAACCAGGATGTCTATGCTTAGGATAGTCTCGATGTGCTAAACCAATAGCAATGTAACAATTTTTACCAGGATCAACTATTTCAATTTCAAAATAATGACTTGAAGGACTGAGTGACTTGCGTGCCTGTGCTAATCCAACATCAACAATACTACGTCCCCTACCAATGTACTCCAACACCTGCAGTTGAAATGAAAATTAAATTACATTTTCTATCTTTATCATTTGAATGTGTCCATGCCATTTTCATACAGAAAATGCAACAAAAGTGACTTCTCATTTGATTTTTTTTCTTCTGAAACATTATATACACATGACCAGAAACATGAATATTATATACACACGATGACCGGAAACATGAATATTGTATACACACGGTGACCATATGTACACGAAGACCAGAAACATGAATATCGTATACAAACAATGATCACCAGAAACATGAATATCATATCACACGATAACCAGAAACATGAATAATGTATACACATGTACACGATGACCAGAAACATTAATATCATATACGCACGATGACCAGAAACATGAATATCATATCACGCGATGACCAGAAACATGAACATTGTATACACATGTGACCATATGTACACAATGACCAGAAACATTAATATCATATACACACGATGACCACCAGAAACATGAATATCATATCACGCGATGACCAGAAACATGAATATCATATACACGCGATGACCAGAAAAATGAATATTGTATACACACGATGATCGCCAGAAAAATGAATATTGTATACACACGATGATCGCCAGAAACATGAATATCGTATACACACAATGACCACCAGAAACACGAGTATCGTATACATTCGATGACCAGAAGCATGAATATTGTTTACACACAATGAAGATTGTTTACATAAGTTTCTAATTTTATGGTCAAAGTTTTTCAACACACAAAGACATGGGCTGAATGTGTTGTATTGCATAACTAATATAAAGTTGCAAGTTCTCAACCATCATGTATTGTATTTGTCTGTTAGTAGCAGATGTGTTTATTATCAACTTGTAATTTTGGGTTATGTGCAGTTCTATTAAAATATGACACCGTGAAGGATGCGGTAGAATTTTGCTGTTTTTGGTTAATGAAGAGTCATTACTTTTGTAAAGTTATTGGGCTCATAATTTTATCAAAATTAAAACTGAAACACATCTAGAATACCCTTTTTTTTTAAATAAGAAAAACTATTTGTATGAAGGGAAACTGTACACTTTGTTTTTGAGATAAAAGTCTGGACGCAAACAATAACATTGATTTATTGCGTAATTTGCATAATCCCTTAATGACGGGAACAGTGCACACTGAAGATGACGTGGTCATATCAACTCTGGCTCCTGATCACTGCAATTTTATCACTGCGAAACAAAAACAAAAACAAAATCTCTAGTTCTACTACGACTGATGCATCTTTTCGTTGTTTCAAAGATTTATCATGAAGCGAAAAAGAGGTCCCCAAAGAAGAACCTGAAACGCATGTCAGAGGAAGCGAAACTTCACCACAAAATTTGTTGCCCAACATGGAAGTAGATGATCTGTTTCACAGCAAGAAAGGCTCACTTCCATTGATCGGCATTTTGAACTGAGAATTATTGAAATATTCATTGTGTTTGACGGGCAAATTGCAAATTTCTGAGGACACGCAGCATGGCTAGGGTTCAGGTTTCAGGTTTGAGTGTTCAAACCAAAAGTGTAAAATTTCGTCAGGAAAACATGATCAATTTCCATCTTCTAAAAAGTATGGCAGACAATTTGAAATCAACCGAAAATCTGTATTGGCTGGACAAGCAGTTGGGAGAGGTCAGCAAGGTTTGGAAAAACTGGCGTCTTATGTGGGATTGCTGCTGCGCCACCCATCCACAAGTGTCCATACAAAAATGTCATTTCCGAGAGAACAGAACATCGGAGGTTGTTGAGTTAACTGGTTGTGTTTAGGCATGTTGATCTCTTTCTTCGGTTACAGACTACGCTTTGCAAGTAAACATGATTTGAATATATAATGAGATGACGTCATTTATCTCCCTAACTGTTCAACGTTTTGCGGGGCGGTTGTGTATTGTAACAACTTCGCTTCTTTTTGGAGGACGAATAAGGGCCAAGCAATTTATAGTTTTAGATTTTAATACTGCAAGGCTACTAAGTGACTATGTTCTGTGTTTTGTTTTAAAATTCAGTCCATCTGATGCTTTAAAAATGTCCAAAATTAGCGCAAGGTGACAATTGTTTTGTTTTTTGGCAGAAGAAATCTGATGCCACAGAGGTCATTCAAATGAGTTGTGCGGCCTCAGAAATTAACCTAAAATGTAAATTGATTTCATTGTAAACAAGTATGCTACCTACGTTCTAACACTCTCGAGGCATTGACAGGGCTGATGCTGCCTTGATTTTTCAGCTTTCTTTTTTGACAAAACCAAAACTGTTTTTATACAAAACTGATTATTATTCAAAAAAACACCTCCAAGTTTACTTAGTAATCACGTGACTAATTCGTGGTACACGTCACAGATAATTTTTTTCAAAAAGCCAGGAACAAGGGCTTCAAGAAAATATATAATTTGTTATGCTTCAAAACACTTTTCCCCATGAAAAAAGTTTTTACTTTTTAGAGCTCTACCGCATCCTTAATCTTTTCCTTGTGGGGGTGTATGTACAAATGTATAAATACATATCACTTCTGGGTTCACACAATGATGGACAAACGTATAAATACACATTCCATATGCATATGACTTTTCACCTTCAAAATGACGTCAACTTGCCCTATAGGGTGGGTCTAATCAATGTCAATGCTTTAGGGAATGTCGACAATCAAAGTGAACTCGATGACGATAATGACAAGCCATGCATGGCACAGACCTATTTAGTTATTTTTGCCATCATGAGTCAGATCATCAAACCAATCTGTATATTTATGACAATGTATAATGAATATATATAATTTGTACATAATCAGTCAAATTACGTCAGAGATATGGCTCTAGAAACACATTCATTAAAACAAAATGGCCACCAGTCAGCCATTTTGAATCCGATCTGGAAAAAAAAATGAAGTGCATCGGGACCCATAATGTCCATGTATCAAGTTTGGATGAAATCCATCCATAAACGGCCGGTTAAGGAATGCCAGAAATTATTGATTTTGATGATTTTTCAGCACAAAAATCAGATCATGAAACAAATTGATGTGCATGTACAATATTATGTATGATGTATGTGTGATGTTTGAAAGAGGCCTGCACGCATGCACAGAGGTCAATCTCTAAGTCCTCATTTTCGGACTGTGTTCGAACGCGAGACATTTTCCCACAAAATATTTCAAACTTAATAAATAAAAAGTACATGACTGATGAAATCACTCACCTGTCCATTTACCCTGACATCATTCAACCTTGCCCACTCATCTTCACAACTGTCAATCATCATATCTTCTTCAATATTCACCCAATCAGCATCCATATGTAGTCTGACTTCTTCACCTACAGAATGCATGCCGATTGCAGGGAAGAAACCACCAGCTGGCAAAGCACACATAACGGTACCAAGCTACAATCAAATGGGATAACACTATGGATTCAGTGATATCGAGTTATTTACTAGTATGTCACAACCACAACATTCCCACACGAGGTTCAAACCTTGATATACAATAACGCTCTATTTGAACCAACAAATCTGTTTATCGGCCTCGTATTTTTGAATTTTCACTGGCTTTTTTCATTTAGTGCATTCAGCAAAAATATGTGATCAGTATATTTTTCACCCATTGAAAGCCTGATACAGTAACAGTACATCATGCTCATTACAATTACATGTAGATTTTTTCTAAACCAGGGACGCAGCGCCCTGATAATCTCGGCTGGCTGGCTCTTACCGAATTTCTGATTGAACTTTCAAGTCATAAATATATTTCTTGAGCTGCGCACAACATCAAAAATCTTTCTCAAATATATTTTTTTCCATGAAAACTTCCCAGCAACACCAGCTGACAATGTGTCTAGACACCAAATACACTAAAATTACTCCAAAAATATTTCAATGGCGATAGATACACTGTTAAAACTGTACAGAAAGCTTCCGATATGGTGTTTCTAGGTCGATCCGCCCATCCACACCTATCGCCCTCTTGGTCGCTCCGCTCCCTCACCGGTGAGATATATCTATCATGTCTGCCTGTCTGTCAAGTTCAAATACACATAAATTTCACATAAGTTCCTTGGTATGCAAAAAAAAAACTGTCTTTTCATACCTCTTTTCCATTTCTTGTGAAAAATACTGGTACTTGTTGTCGTGCTCCATCTTCATACTCAATGTGATCAAATTTGATACCACATCCCATTCGATCACCATTGTTACATTTCACACCAAATGGTCTACCATGACCATTAGCTTTAAATAACCTACACAAAGTACACACATATATTACCACAGTAATATATCAAACTTGTTCTCATTGTACACAGCTGAATTGAAAGAATAAAAAACAAAACTGGAAACCACAACACTTTCATTTTTGTGAATAAGTAGTGAACATTAAGGTGTGAATGTCCAGCGCAGATGCAGCAATCAGGTTTAAGGTAGATGCAGCAATCAGGTTTAAGGCAGATGCAGCAATCAGGTTTAAGGCAGATGCAGCAATCAGGTTTAAGGCAGATGCGGCAATCAGGTTTAAGGTAGATGCGGCAATCAGGTTTAAGGGTAGATGCGGCAATCAGGTTTAAGGTAGATGTGGCAATCGGGTTTAAGGGTAGATGCGGCAATCGGGTTTAAGGGTAGATGCGGCAATCAGGTTTAAGGGTAGATGCGGCA